CAGTACAGAAAATAAGGCCTGAAACCAGTATTGCAGAGGTCATGGGTTCCAATACCATACAGACCTGAGTTTTTTTCAGGTCTTATTTTCACTAATGCTTAAGTAGTGATCATTACTGCGAAGATTGCTCTCATACTAATTTCTTTAACCGCAGTTCAAATATAAGACTATATACATTCACAAAAATATGGATACTGATACTAGGGTGTAATGGGTAAAAGTAATGGAAAGTGGGGTAAGTTCCTGGACCAGTGGAAAGTACTAGTTCACTCAAGTGCTAAGGCAGGACTTTGGGTTCATGGTGCAGAGTCCATACCTTTTTGCCAAATTTCTTCAGCTCTCGTTGCTTCTTTGCCTTTTCAGACCTCTCCATGGCTTTCTGCTTGCTCAGTAACTTTGCTCTAACCTGAAATAAAAGAGCAACAAAGCAAAGTGATAACTCAATGCAGCTAACATCTTAAAAACTTTGTTCTCATTTCCCTGTAAGGGAATATTTGAAAAACTTGTAGGGTAACATTTTCCTCTCTGTCAATCCTTTTTAAATACAAAGCATATAGATGAAGGAATAATCTGTAAATTTACCCTCTGCATGTGATCATCCGTTTTCACCATTTCTGCAAAGTAATCTTCAGGTCGTTTGGTTCCTACACCAAGTTTGTTCAACTTGGGAAGTGCTTCATTCACTGCAGCCCGTGCTTGCCTGTAGCTTAAAATTAAAAACACATTTTAAGAAGGACGTTCTTAGTGTGTTCAAGAGCATGGGGATAAAAACTGTGTGCCCCATAATGAAAGCCACAGACCTTCTGATTACACAATCTACTGCTCCAGCACTAAGCTACAAAGAATTTGATGGTGAGCTAGACTGTAACCAGGTCCATACGATATTTATTGTCGCTCCTGCTGATATGTGAACGAACTTACAATCTCATTTCTCGTTGGAAGTCGTCATGAATGCTTTTTTCATTGGAAACTGTGGATGTTGTAGGCGTCTTTAAACTTTCCAGCTCATCGTCTTCCTCTCTGGTGATCGTGACATCCATTCTTTCAATCCAGTCAAGCTCTTGAGAGATCTGTTCCAGCTTTTGCTTCATGCCGGGCTGCGCAAATGTAAACAATGTTGTTTTAAATGGCGGGCCTTTGTGTTCGCGCTTATGTTGCTAGTTTGCCCCCACGCGGACAGTTCTTTAACTGGGAAACCCTTCAAGAGCTTAAATTTTCATTTAAAAGAAGTTAATTGAATAAAATAGGCACCAAAAGAAACTTACGACATTGTTGTACAGAGCACGTGTCTTGGTTTGGGGCTGAATTCTGTTCAAACCGACTTGAAGTTTTCCTCTTGCGAAATCTCTTTGAAGCTAGAAAAGTTACAGACAAGACTCAAATAAGTCACTTTGAACCATCCTCTGACAGAGAGCTATTCATAATACAAAATCACACCTCATCATCTGATATTTCAGAGTCGCTTTCCATCAAGTCTTCTTCACCAACGTCGGCCATTTTGGTTTTCTTTAACAGCGAGAGATTGGTTCGAGTTAGTCCGCTGACCACATTTGCTCAATAAGTAATTTTATTTACTTAAATCTGGTAATTCCTCTGTAATCTGTTAATGTTACTTCGTTAATAATAACTCTTTTGAACTGCAATCTACCGATCGTTAGGCGTCGCCATGGATCAGTTTTACGGAATTTTTGACTCGTATGCCGAGCAGCTGGCTAAGCTTCCAATGTTCCCAGTTTTACAGTGTGTTCACTATATCATTATGACCTTGAAATTACGAATGGGAGAAGGTAAATAGTGCTGTTTAATTCTTAGTGTTTTATCCAGATGTGCTTGCTAATTGCTTCAATCTATGTTTTAAAAGAATTTTTTTCGAATAGATATTAAAAAAATTTCACCTGGATGAAACTGAGATATTGTTTTTTCGTTTTTTCCATTCCTAGTTCGTGAAAAGAGAATTTCTCGAACTATGGACGCCACGCCCTTACTGGGCTTTGCAGCTGCTTTCCGCATGACTTTTCTAAAACTTATCAAAAAACAGTGAGAAAACATCGCAAACTACTTAAAAAAGAGTGATTTAAGACTAAAAGGGAAAGATATTGGGGATCAGTTCGGAAAAAGTCAACTTGGCTGGAAACTTTCTATTCAAGTATTAAACATGGCATAACAATCCCTTAGACAGAATCATTAAATCAGGATTTTTTGGTAGGTGCAGTTTCTTTTGCCTATTCTCACCCAATGTCATCCTGGGTAGCCAGTATTTTGACATGCTTTGCTGGGACCTTTTTGTCAAACTTTTTGTTGGGAAACTCCTTGCTGTCGCCTCTGACGGATTTGGAACAAATTGCTATTCTGTCTGTCATTTGGTATGAATATGATTAACAGTCATTTTCTTATGCAAATTACAGTTATATTCGTCTAAATTTTGATGAAAATCACTTTTTTTGAAATTCTTGAAAGTTGTTTGATTTGATAAAGGTATCTGGTATTCTTTTGTCCTCTGGATTTGTTTACCAAGGTCTTCATGCTGAAGCCATTGTGGGTAAGTTAATTTGACAAACTATTTGTTAAATTATCAGAAAAATATTGTTTCTTTATCATTTAAATAATAGTTTATTTATTGATTGATCAATTGAATGAGATGCAGTAGTTACAAATTTCCAGGGCCCAGTTGTTCAAAGGCTGATTAGCTCTAACCCAGGGTTAAATTTTAATCCAGGTTTCTAAATTTCTCTAATCAAAAGCCATTTTGGGATAATTTTCCTAGTTCTTTTTTGGACATTCAATCATCAAATTGTAGACAAATGGAATTAAGCTGAATTTTCTTTCAGAGCTTTCAGATCTGAAATCAAATTTCACACTAACCCTGGGTTATCTTAACACAGTTTTGAACAACCCGGTCCAGGACTCTAGATTTAGGGCCTAAATTTAAGTCCTGCTCAAATCTTTGAGTGGTGTTCAAGGGCAAAACATTAAACTCTCAAAGCACTCCTCACTGTCCAGGAGTATAAATGGGTGACTGGCAAACTGGAAACAAGACAAAATTCTTTGGGAGGGGGTGGGAAGGTAACCTGTAACGCAGGAATAAGCTCATCCTGCCCAACCTTACCTTGTGTTAATCTTTATCCTATCAAATGGTTAGCCCCATCCCTGTCACATATTTTGTTAGCTTACCTTGCCTTTGGTTCATGAACTGATTTTCCCTTAACTTCTACCTGCTAATTGTTGTTTATTTAATCCTTTTTTAAAACCCTCTAAGAGTGACTTACATCCAATTTCTCCTTACAATATCACCCCTGAATCACACATTAATGTCACAAGAATCAAGGAAGTGATCACCAACATAAGTAGCTCTAGATTGTTAAACAAATTCTCCTTGTTAGCACATCAGGAAATTTATAGAGAACAGTATGGAGAATATGCATACTGATGTTAGGGTGTACAGGGTTAACATTTTCATTTACATTTACATTTTTACATTTATAACCTAGTGTATGTTTTGTAGATTGCCCTTCTGGTGGTCAAAGAGGCCCACAGAGCAAGGAACATTCTCAAGGGAGTAGAGATGTCGTCAACACTTCACCATGATGCTTGGCTGGTCATGATAGCTATCATAAGGAAAGGCAAAAGGTATGGCTATACAGTACAGAATGTCAGATTGTCAACTCATTTGTAAATATAATTACACTTAGTATAATCATGTAACACATTCTTGTCCACTTATTAAGTAGATGACAGATGTGGTATCTTAATGGTTATTGTGCTGGCCTCTGTGTCAAGATTTGGCCGGGCCACTGTGTTGTGTTCTTGAGCAAGACACTTCACTGTCACAGTGCTAATATGGAGTAGTAAATGGGAACTGGAAAATTATCATGGAAGCCTCATGAAATGCTGGGGCTAACCTTGCAATGGATTGGGATTCTATCCCCTAACCCATCTAGCTTTGGAATCTGAGATAAGCTGCGGCTGGATGAGCCATTTGGCTCAAGTACAGACTTTGTTCTTTACCTTTTACCACTTATCCCTTTAACTGCCATGATCTGATTCTTAATTCTCCTCTCTAGCTGCTACACATTTCCTTGTAAATTAGTTATAAGACTTTGGTGTTACATCAAGATAACAACTTCTGCCTGATAAGTTTGAGTATTCTCATTACCTGTTTGGTAGGTAATTTTTGGATATTATAGGGAGATGTTACTTGTCCATCATGTCTGGGAGTTAATAAGTACATCCTTGGATGCTCTGAGAAAAAAGACAATCAGGGCTTCAAAATGTCACTCAGAATTGCATACAGCACTACTTTTTGGGACCATTCTCACCTAGATAATTAGACTAGAAAAAAGTTAATTTATGCAAATTCTTTTTTCATTTATCCATCTGTTTATTACTTCAGGAGCTGGTAGTCGACTCTTAAGACCGGTGGTTCTGTTTGCTCAAGGAAAAGTGGATGCTATAAATGAAGCACTTTACCCATCATTGTAAGTTAACCTCATTTGAATAACTATTAATTGTTTTGCACCTGATCCTGGAAAGAGGTTGGGCAGGTAGATGTAGAGGAAATGGGCAGTAATTAAAGGGGCCAGGCACCCTTTTTTTCTTCCTTGTATTCTTTTTCTTTTGTGTAGTTTTGTGCAGTGTGGGTGGTATTCAATTTTGTAGAAAACTAAAACACTGGTGAGTGTGAGAATTGAGAGGAGGGGGGGATTGGGATGGGTTTGTGCTCTTGCCTTACTTTCCTTTATCCCATCTTCCTCCTTTTGCAATTTTCTGTATCTTTGCCCAGATACCACGTTGTCCTCTTCTCCTCACCCGGCAATGGAAGTGCTTGTGAGTGAATGCACTGATTTGTCAAGTTTTCACTACTTTCAGTGTCACCAAACTATCTATTGTTGGAAGTGTTCTCTTCATTGTGGTACAGAAGCGCATGGTTGCCTTCACTTCCGCTGAAGTTCTTCTGGGCATAACTTGTGTGGGAGCATTTCTTCAGGTCCTCATGGACCTCAGTAACACAAGTGATCCTTTTACCTATTTGGAGAAAGCTGTTGCTGCTGTTCTCTTTAGAGAACCAGCTGAAAAGGCAGATACTTCAGATGCCAAGAAGAAAAAGGAATAATCGCGGCTGTAAAATGAGGAAAAAGGACGATCTTAAATGTGACCTCATCTGGTAGGCAATAGGTTGGAGTTAGGCAATCTGTTATGGTATGACTCACAAAGACATGCTGATTGCTGTTAACCGAGCTGAAAACTGCATTATGTAACCCCATTCCAAAAGACTTCTTATCTTCCTCTGAAAAATGAAGATAGAGAAACCTTGGAATAAAGTTAGGATGTGTGTTTTCATTGAGTGGTTTGGCAAATGTGAAATGGCTTAGTGTAACTTTGGAGTGCTCTCTGATCCCTGAAAAGTCTATTTAATTACATTAGCTACGAGATCATAATTTAATACAATTAACAAATGGTGAACGACATAGCGTGTACTATTGAGTTATGGATGCACCTGGGAGGTTTGCTAAGCACGAAAGAAGCGTAAGAG